ACACTGCTGGCTGATATTTAAATGGTTGTCCACTAGGACTCCAAGATCCCTCTCATAGTTACTACTATTGAGCAAGGTACCACCTATACTGTACTTACTATATATAATAAAATAAAGTAAAATAAATAAAATAAGAAAGATAAAAGCCACAGAATAGAAAAGGACCAGTCATTCAATCTCCTCTTCAATGCAGAAATCCAAGCCTACAATACCTGGGCGGCCTGCCAGAACTCATCCATAATTCCAAGAAAAAGTAGCCTCTGGAATTATTTAGGTCTGCAGACCATGAAGCATTGCAGTCACGCAATGGAAGCAAGACTAAGCTATATCTGGACTGCACTTGGTCTTTGAATGATATGCCAGGGATGCAGGGATGCAGTCTAAGAAATAGGGGTGGCCAGGACAAAAATGAAACTTAATTAAAAGTAAATTAAAACTAAATAGCTTAACAAGCTTATGTATGCACTCCCTGTTTGTCATTCTAAGATCACAGCTAATCAGTAATTTTGCAGTTGATGGGGCGGATCACAGGCCTAGGATCCAATAGGCTTATTCAGCTAAAGAGAATATCTCCATCCTTTCTCGTTTGAAATGATTGAAATGGAAGCTTTGCACATTTAGGGAAACCAACTTACCTCTGCATGTGGAAAGGGAGGTTCTGGTAGGTATACTTTTGTCTGCTTGTTGTGACATAACCTAAAGTTGAAAGGAGAGAGCAAAACAATCTGGAATTATAATCCTGTTTGGTCACACATAGCAAGTAACTGCTGCCACCTACTGCCCAGCTCTTCAGCCAAAGTTTGGTGGCAGCAACAGCAAAATGGTTAAATAAATCTGGAACCTTCTTTAGGATCCCACTGGAATAGAGGAACAAGAAGACACCTGGGGGTGCTTTGAAAACTAACAATGTAATCACTGTATTTCCTTTCATGGGCATCAGTCCTGAACATTTATGTCACAATAAATTTGTATGTTTTGAAGGGATTGAATTGACTCTTAGGGTGTTTTTCCTGTATGAAGCTCAGATGCTTCCCCTTCTGCTGATTATTTACAGAGGAAGAGCAACTATAGAAATAAGAGACATCAGCCACTATGGTTTGGGGAAAGAATTTCCGCGAGCTATTTGGTGGACTACCAGTTCACTACTTGGCTTTCTTTCAGGAATGTTCATGGATCAAAAATCAAGAGGATGATTGTTGAAATAGAATTGACATTGTCTGAATTCACCACATGGATTATATGTGAATCTATATATATAAAACTGGCTCTGTGTGTGTGTGTGTGTGTGTGTGTGTGTGCACGTGCGCATGTATGTTCCAGCATAACTCCAGAATGCCTGGGCCGCTGAAATGAAAAGGACTGAATTATATCTATAGTGTCGTCTTAGTAATTTTGACAGTGATACTGTGCATTTTGGATTCAAGTTCTGTTAAGATACAGCCTGTTGTGTCTTAAAATGGCTTCTACTGTACAGCATAATGGAGTTTTCATGGTAACGGCTTCGCAGTACTCCACAAGGGGCTCCCTCTAATACAGGATTAGGATAAATACATACCGGGGCTACGCCGGGTTATCAGCTAGTAATAAATAAGACGCACAGCATTTTTCTACAACCAGTGGCTCAGAAAAATATGAAATACTTCTGAATATACAGAACAAGAGTGGACAGCCCTCTGCCTCCCTTTTATAAGTTTCTAAAGTCTCTGGGATAGGTGGGCTCAAACTTTTGGAGGATGTTTAAAGACAAAACCCTAAAAGGCTTAAACTCTTAAACCTCCATTTCACACCACCCCACTCAAAAGAGCCCCAAATACCTCCTCCCCAGGCCAAAGTGATTTCCCCCCCATTTCTCAGAAACGAATGAAGTGGCCAGCCAAAGTCTTGAATCTCTTGGGCTGCTAAAGAGAAGCCGCTGTCACCTACCATTCAGCGAAGATCTGGGAAAACTCGAGAGAGCTGTTTGCCACAGGTGAAATGAAGTAGAACTGGGTGTTGGAGAGTCCGGCAGAGTCAATGTACTGATAGAGACACTCCAAAAGATCATAGATCACTCCGGAGGGGTAGCAAGGGACCAGCACGTTCCCCCCATTTCGAACTGTAAGAGCTTAAGAAAGGCACAATAAAAAAAAAAAGATATACAGTTCCAATAGTATCCAATTAAGGAAACTCACAAACATGGCATAATGGAGGCAGCTGCCCCTGTGGCTTCTCCCCAACATGAAGATACGGAAATGTATTGTCTCTGAACACAGGGGTTTCATTAATTGGCAATAAAGCAAACACATCTTGGTAGACTCCTCTGAATTTAGAAAAAGGCAGTTATGTCCACAATTATTAAGTCCATACATTTTCCATGCCTTGTGCAGAAGTTCTCTCTTTTCTGGGAACAGAACCAGCGCTTCACGCTGGTCCATTTCATTAACAATACTAGAATTCCGTATTTATTCATTTTTTGGCTTTATATATTAGTAATCCTGAAAACTGGATTTTTTCCAATTTTTTTCCAGATGTTTTCAGAAGCCTTTCATACCTACACCCCACTTCTATATTCTATGCATGCCGTCTCCCGAGATCTCAAGTCTGCATAAACTAAGCTTATCTCTTTGTTTATTAATTAATTAAAGCATCTGATTTTTCTCTTCAAAATAAGGATTTCCCTTGGAGAAGTCACAATAAAAACTGAGAATCTAACGATAAAAGTGACAAATAAAAAAACCTCCCTTTTCTTCCTGTAAAAGGTGCAGAAAATGGTCTAACTAATACAGCTGGTTAATAAAAACAAAGTTATAACTCAGAGGTTGCTGACTTTTGGGGCCACTGGGAACATAAAAGGATTTTGAGAGTATTTTACGGACATATTATTGCTGTCATGGGAAGCAGGATCAAATGTATACCCCATGGCAGGTATATTTCCAGATAAAGCAATAGGCAATTATTTTCATTTTTCAGGATGGCGCCAACTTAAATGAAAATCGTGCTTGAGTTTGAGGGTCTTGCTTTGCAGCTTGCTAGTTTCTCATTTACTTTTTTTCTAACTAAAACGATTTTTAAAAATAGAATCAAGTGGGTTCATGGAGCCCAACACATCCCTATGGAAAGGCCTTTGATTATGGCAGCTCTTGTGGGCATTCCACAGGCGTACTCAAGATTGTAAGTCAAAATATATAAAAGATCTGGGAAAAATAGGGGTTTTCCCCCCATTTATTTATATTGCTTTCCATTTCCATCAAACAGTGTGTGATCTGGGTACAGTTATTATAACAGTCAGAATCCACATATTTGTTGTTATATTCATCACAATAAAATTAATAACTATACAATAGTATAATAACAACACAGGACATAATCATCTTTAAATTATCTCCACATTGACATTTCCTCTTTTTATATCTCCTCCTTTCTAGCTTCTGTTTCTATTGTCTAACCATTGGTAAAATATATCCCATGTCAAAAAATATTCAAGTTCTTCTTTATTCTTAATAGTAAGCGTTAGTCTGTCCATTTCTGCACATTCTAGTATTTTCTTAATTACATTCTCATCTTACGGAATATCATCCTTTTCCCATTGTTGTGCAAGTACATTTCTGGTTGCAGTTAGTATATGTAAAACCAGATATATAGGTTTTTTTATCATATATTTGCAGTAGGGGCCCAATAAAAATGTCTCTGGTTTCAAGTCTATATGTTGCTTTATCATTTTTTGGGAAAAATAGTTTTTAACATTGGGCTATCTCTTTGCTTAGGGGATGCGATGGCTCAGTGGTTAAGACACTGAGCTTGTCGATCAGAAAGGCTGGCAGTTTGGCAGTTTGAATCCCTAGTGCCACATAATGGAGTGAGCTCTCGTTACTTGTCCCAGCTTCTGCAAACCTAGCAGTTCGAAAGCACGGAAAAAATGATAAAGCAACATATAGACTTGAAACCAGAGACATTTTTATTGGGCCCCTACTGCAAATATATGATAAAAAA